GGACGGGACGGGACTGAGCATGAATCCAAAATGTGCTTGGCTTGTTTAACTTGGCAGGGAGGGGATTTGATTGTTGAGTGTTGCACAGTGGAGAGGGAGAGCGTGTCTTCAGTGAGAGGGCAAAAGCAGCCCCAGAGCACATGGACAGAGGCTGGCCGTGAATAAATTTAAGTCAGAAATGAAGTAAAAAGGAGCAGTGGCATCATGGGACAGCCATTCAGCCTGAGTGTCAGGAGTAAAGAGCAAATGACTTTTAAGATGGAATAGGAAAATGGAGTGGCTCCTGGGAAGCAGCCGTATCAGGGAGCAGCGTGCAGCTCCCCGAACGTCCCTGTCCCAGCCTGTTGCACCATCCCCCAGCTACTGGGAGCATTTGGCTCTTCCTACCGGGGCCTGTACACAGCATTTGCCATATCCCTGGGTAGACTTTCCCATTCCCTTATCTTTCTGACAGAGGGAGGCTGTTTACTTGGTACTTGCTGATAAGATTTTAGCTGTTTTTTTCATTTATTTCCTTTTCAGCAAGTGGAGGCAGCATACTGAGAGGAGATTTTTAATTGGCATTAACACTGTGCTCAGAAGTGTTCTCAGGGTGTTAATGATATGGAGAGTATTGTGCAGTGAAATTACAATTCAGACAAAATTAGGAATTATAATGAGCTAGAAAAGAAATTTTGATCCACAATCCAATTTAAAAGGCACACAAGTGTCCTGTATTGTGAAAAATGAAGACGTATCAGCTTTAGCTAGGAAGCAAACAGTCCAGTGTAAAGATCAATGATGTCCTTCATTACTTGCTCAGAAACCTCAGTAATCTCAGTCTGTACCAATATCAATGTTTCTTCTCACATTCAGCAGCAAGAAAATACCTGTTTTCCTTGTAAGAAAATTCCTGGAAAATGTAGGAGAGAAACTTGTGAGATTGGAAGAAAAAGCCCAGGTTCAAATGTATTCACCTGAACTTTCCCAGTCTGTTCTTCTCTAGCACATGCCCTGCGATCCCTGAGGAGCGGTTTGCTGTTTGTGTACTACCCATGTTGGTAGTTCAGGGCAGTCCCAGTCACAGCACTAGACTGTCTGCCTGGTTGTTGCCCGCAGGCGCCGAGAGACCCCAGATGCCAGTTGTGGTCTCCGTCCTGTTTCTCCACTGCACAGGCAGTGCTGCTCAGCGGCTGCTGCAGACATCCACACCTGCTAGAAACAGGCAGGACAGCCAGTGGTATATAAAGTGGAAGGGGAAGGAAAAGCGAAGAAGGGAGGGCAGAAAAGCAACTAAGAAGTAAAAACTTGTAATGACCGAAAAAGGCTGAAGAGAAGCACTGTATTTATAATGATGTCAGTGAAGAGCTGGCAATTGACACCTGAATTGTCCATTTGGCCCCAGCTGTGATTTTAAGATAAAGCTTTTGAAAAACAAGAATAAATGTAGTCAGTGCTGGTGCTGCAGATCCTTCAACACTCTTGAAATCTCTGTCTCTTATGTAGACAGCTATATCATGAGGCAGATGTCCTTTCAGGACACTATTTTATATCAGCCCCAGTTTATTCCTCTCCTTGCATTTCTTTGCATTTACACAGTTCAGCTGTTACAATCAGAGAAGTGTCTCATCATACTGCTTATTTTCTTTCCCTGATAATTTTTGGGGACCTCAGTTACAGATGTGTTGTTATTTTCTACTCTGTTTTGTGGGAAAAGTCCAAGAAACCCTAATAATTTTTGGGGACCTCAGTTACAGATGTGTTGTTATTTTCTACTCTGTTTTGTGGGAAAAGTCCAAGAAAAATGTGGAAAGTATTTTGTAGTTTTGTGAACCTGTTTTGCAAATCTTGACTATTTGTTGGCTGGCTGAGCTAGCTCATAACAGGGTCTGTTGTTTGTGCTCCTGTGGGCCCATTGGTTTTTGCAATGTGAACGTTTTTCTGCATAAAGTTGCCCAAATATCGCCCTGGTAATTATCATAAGAGAGTTTACTCATAAGTGAGCACAGATCCCACATGGCTTGGCATAATCTCTTGCTATGCAAAGAAGACAGCCGTGTTTTCTAAGTATCACCGCTGATGCCTGGACATTGCATGTCCATTAAGCCCACTGATCTGTTTGCTTCACATTTTGTATGCCAAGGAATACGCAAATGAGGAGCGAAAGGTTGCATTGCAAAACTGAGGAAACATTTGAGAAGCTGACCTGTCAGTGCTGTGGGCAGGATCTCAGCCAAAGCTCTGGAGTTAAACAGAAGCTTATGGATCTGGTCAGTGAAAAACTCCACTGCAGAGAGGATAGGAGAAAAAGATTATGACTTCTGAGTACAGAATTAAAAATATCTCAAACTCAGGGCCAGAGTAGTTTAAAACTGGAGTCTTCTGTGTTCCCTTTAACAGTGTTCTTCCTTAACTTTATGCTAACTTTCTTAGCAGGGATCCTTCCATCATATCTTTGTGTCCCATGCACAAGCAAAACTCACTGCTAATCCATGAGTCGCTTAGCTACAGTATTTCCAGTGCAGAGAACTTTGTTAGATGTAAAGCAGAGTTTCTGCTCCAAACCTCTGCAACTTGGATATCTCAGGTGACTTACTCAGGGCACAGTGGATTGGAAAGAAACAACAACAGTGGTTTATATTTCAGGCTCAGTTAACTGATATTTGTAAAGTGCTTGAAGTTATTTGGATGAAATATTGATGCACAGTAGAATGACAGACATGTAAGTTTAAAAAAATAATACTAATAAACCTTCACCATGTTTTGAAAACGTGGGTGTTATAACTCCCCCAGGAAGTATCACTTCTGATAAACAAAATCAGTTTACTGGAAAAACTGGCACCAAACTTCTCAAATGTTTAAAAATAGAAATAACAATCTCTCTTTCCCCAGCTTGTGAAAGAAATACATTGATGAGTTTAGAGAATTTATTCATTGGTATGAGCATGAGTGGGTGTGTTAAGTAGAGAATTTAATGAGAGGGAGTTAATGAGGGGGAACGAAGTAGGAAAGAAGACTTCTGCATCTATTAGTTCTGAAAGTGGAAAAGTCTGCAAATGTCCTTGCATCTCCTGAGCTTCAGAGCCTGGGTCCAGTCCTGTGGGAGCACTGCCTTCAGCTGCCGAATCCTCTGCCTGCTAGTTTGCAGTTTCGTTGTTCCCATAGAGCAGAGGTGTGTGAGGGCCTTTTGGTACTGCTGAGATTGTCACCCAGTCATACAACAGCATCACTTCTGACTCACCTGGGTTGAGAGTTAGTCAAGAGCTTGTCATCTATGTAAGCACTATGATGTGCGCAGTATTGATCTAGGTGTGGTTCCACGGGAAAGGGCCTGAAGTGAGAGAAACCAGCACCGATAAACTCGGTTTAACCAGGAGGCTAAAAAGTGGCAATCAGGGCTATTGAACTATCTACTTATCCATATTTCCCAGTGAGTGGGTTTGATTCACAAAAGCTTTTCTTGCCACAGGGGAGCTAAGTTTCTAAGGAGCAGACCACTGAAATATTCACTGATCGAAGTAACCACAGGGAAATGCTGTTGAATGCCAATTTTTCAGGTACCCATGTGTACACTCTGAATGGAACTGATCCAGAAGGAGATCCTGTGACATACGGCCTGGCCTATGAAGCTGGATCAAGACGCTACTTTTCTGTTGACAAGAACCTTGGAAATGTTACGCTGATCGAGGAGCTTGACAGAGAGGTACAGTGAAATGGCAGCACTCCATGTGTTCATGGAATTTCGTTCAGTTTAATTTGATCCATGGTTTTGAGGGACAATGCCAACTTATTTGCCCCTGAAACGTGTAATACACTTTGCTATTCTGAGACATTATACTTCATCCGTCATGTTGTTTTCCAGTTGACTTGCACCACTGGCACTGCTATCAAATTTTTCAGCAGCTGTCTGTCCAGCTTTTGCCAAAAGAGAAGTTTACTCTTTATTCCTATCTTTCCCCACCCACACCCCATCAAGAGTTTAGGGGCAGTTACAGTCCTCTTATCCTCAGACAGAGGACTCTCCTGTTATTAGAAGGAAGTAGAGGTTTGTGTAAGCAATGTTCCAGGACACTTCTCTAGTTACATCATAGCCCTTCAGCCGATATGTAACCATATTGATTAAAGATGTTCCCAGCAATAGTGGGCTAAACGCAGCCTTATTCTAGGAACACGGGTATCGAATCCTTCTTGTCTCCTTTGCTGGGAAGGGTACATAGTACTTAGTAAACCCTTCAAAATACTGTGTACTGAGACAGAAGAATTTTGAACCAATCGTGCCTTTTTAGGGAGTGTTTCTTGAAAAAGATGACTGATTTTCACTAGCACTTTACAGGACAACAGGGATTCCCAGACCAGCCATCCCTTGACAGTAGCCACAGAAAGTCCAAGGAGCCCCGCAGCTGGAGGCTCTGAAGGGTCTTCCTAGCCTCTGCTGTAATTGCTTTGTGGTGTTAGTTGTTACTTTCATCTACGTGCTGAGACACATTTAAATTTGCAGTCCCTTTTCCAATCAGGGCAAACACTGTCTCTCTAACAAAGGAATTTTCTTGGTTTACAGAAGGAAGATGAGATTGAAGTTATTGTCAGTATTTCAGATGGCCTGAGTACAGTAAGTATTTAATTATGCTGTAGCTCGTCAAACTGTCTGTCCCCACATACCTCCTCCTATTAAATTACCTTACAGGGACTATCTCATTTTAACAGAAAACATAATCTCATTAGAATCTTACCTCCTGTTTCAAGAGCCGCTGAACTCCCAGTAACTCAAGTCTCACTCCAGCTTGTTGCTCAGCTATTTGAGGATAATTACAATGTAGTGTGAGCTGAAAGACTGACTTAGTGGCCTGTAGAATTACAGCAGCTTCCTATGAAGTTTCAATGTCAGCTCAGTAGGATTCATACCTAAGAAAGATCTGGAAGCTTTTTAGAGAAATGTGTGACATTGTTGGACAGCCAAGAACTGACTGTCCCTACGTCCCCACGATGTTTCTCTAGCATGACATTAAGAAGATTTGCTTAGGCTAAGATGGTGGGGGTTTTCTTGTCTGCTCTGAATAAAGCTTTGATCACATCTAATTATTAAGGACTTATCTGAGGCAGTGCACAAGCATCCAATCCTAGTTTTACAAATTTCCTTGGCATTTTCGGTTTACGGACGGATGCTGTCACAGCCAGGATGTTAGTCTGCCAATAAGAGGACTTGGGCTTCATCACTAGAGGTGCCACAAAAGTGGGACCCTCATGCTGTCCACAAGACTGGGTAACTATAGAGCTCTTCCTCACCTCAAGCAAATTAATTGAAATTACTACAACAAATGTTTGGGAGGTGCCAGCATCCTACAGGCACAGCTGCCCTGGAAACCTCTGTAAATAGGAAATAATGGGATCACATCCACATGTCCACTTGCAAACAACTGGGAAGTTTCATTGGTCAAATATGTTTGCTTCTGTGTTTTTAGAAAGAGAACATGTTTTGTTCAAGATGGATTTTTACATCTTAGTAGTGTGTATTTGTACATCCAAATTATACATGCTATTAACCTAGTATCATGATATCAAATGAGGCATTAATGAATGCTCTTGGCTGTCAGGTACCAACTTTTACAGTCTTTTATGTATTCTCATAAAATACATCATATCTTGAATGCCATAAAGAAGAAGAAAGACTTCTGAAAATCAGCCCCAGTCTGTAATTTATGAAGTACTCTGAGACTCCTTATTTGGTTTGGAGATACCTGGGTGTTCTCCACAAAGCAAATTCTTCTGGATTATGGGAATTTCTGTATTTTCTTTTATGTGCTCAGTTTTGGTAGTGCAAAGATATTCTATTACAACATAATTTTTCATTGCCTTTGACTACACCTTAGTAGGCAAATGAACAAGTACATGTTGAAAATCAGCTTGAGTCATAATATATTCTTCATATTCAACTCCAGGTTTCTGAAAAAGTCAGGATCCTTGTAATGGATGCTAATGATGAGAGCCCAGAGTTCATCAATACACCTTACATAGTCCAAGTCCCAGAGGTTGGTGAAGTTCCTTTGCATACTGGAAGTATATTTCAATAGGATGTAAAGAGGAGCTAGTATGTTTTCAGTAAAATAACAAGATGTGCAGAACTAACTTGCATTCTTTTGCTTTAGGGTTTGGGTAGATATTTAATATTCACTGCAAACTTAGGGAATAAGTCTGTAGGTACTTAAGGTGTGCTGTTTTGTGGGTAAGCTCCAAGATGTGAGTCATTGGGAGTTTTTAGAATTACCTTCAGTGGGAATAGGATACAGTCTGTTTTAGCTCAGATTTTCTGTCATTTTTATTCCAAAAAGTTTTTCTTCCTTGTTCTTCTCCGGTTTCCTCCATTTTTAATCTCTTCCCTCTTTTCTTTCTGTTCTTTGGTTTCCTCAATGCATTTATATTTTTTCTACCATCACTCTCTTTTTCTGGCTCCTTGCATGCTCATTTTTCATTTCTTCTAACTCACTTGGTTTTCCACTTCTGTGTGACTCTGGTAACTCTTTCTGGTCACAGAACACTCCCTCTGGCAGCAGTATCTTTAAGATTGAGGCAATGGACAAAGACACAGGTTCTGGAGGAAGTATCACCTACTTCTTGCAGGTAAGGTATTACCTGTACCTTCAAAAATCATCTCTCATTTACTGAGATCTCAGAAATCAGGTTATAAAAAGATTTTGAGGGTTGAGCATGCTGCTAGTGTCTACAGGACCAACTTTGTACCATGCACAAGAAAACAAGCATTGACAAAACAGATATTGTCTGATTGCAAGCAGCCAAGTCCAGTCCAGCAGGCAGAAGGAGGAGCTGGAGTTGCCACTGTCACTCCTATGCTTGCCAGCAGGACTCCTCGCAGCAGGGCTCTTATTGCCCCTTTGGAGTGACGGGGAGAGCAAGTCATAACTTGTAATCTTGTATGCATATGGGACTTCTAAAGCATGAAATAGCTTTCTTTAGAAAGCAAAATGCACTGGAAACCCAAATGTGAACTTCAGTGTAGCAGGCTGATGCATAATTGAGACCTGGATCACAGTGTGAAATACGAGGTACTGTCTTCTCACTGACAAAGCCGTGCCTGCTTGAAACCAGCTCTTCAGGTATTGCCCACTGGTGAAGAACAGAAAGGGATCTATATTTAAAGCTGAACTTCTGTATTACAGACCTTCTGCATGCCAAAAGGGCAACTTTTTGCATTATGTCCTTGAAATTCCTTCTTCCTACAGGCAGCTTCATCCAGATTAGCTGCAGTTCCCCTTATTCAAGAGGCAACACAAAAAAAAACAAAACCAATTTCTTGCAATATTTACTTTGGATACAAATACGGAAACACGTTGGAAGATATTTACGTAGCACTAAAGCTAATCCTGTTAAGAGCTTGGGCATAGTGTGAAAGAACACCTTGAGTGCTTTCTTGAAATTTAGTTTTAATTTCACCAATTATGATCCATTTAAAATACAATATGTGCAGGATTCAATTTTGCACAGGGCTTTTTCCAGTAAGCTGATAGACTATTAAGCCAAGGAACAGCAATTTCAAACTTCTATGTGTAGTTGATATATTTGTGTGGCAAAAAGGTTACTATCTTTTGTTGAAAAAATGTTGCCATGTCTTCTGGCACAGTCTCTGGGAATTCTCAAGTTGCACAGAAAAAAAACTCTCCAAAAGTCTGATGTGGGCAGGTGGTGACGTCTGCTGAAAAGGCCAAGATTATCCAACAGTGACCATTGTGTATGGATACCCAAATGGAAGTGTCTTTATAGATATCTCCAGTCCAGAAGAATAGAGGGAGATATTTTTTAGGCCTTTTTGGAAATTGGATGTCTTTTAGGTTTCATTTGTATATTGCAAAAATCGCCAAAACACCACTCTATTGACAATAATCTATGCATGCAAACCTCCTGCTTTTTTTAAGCCAGTAGAACTTTGAAACACTAAGGGATAACTCCTTTTTTCTTCTTCCTTTTCCCTTCATCTTTTTTTCTGTTAAGCCTCCCAGGCTCTTTCCATGCAATGAACTGTCTTAACCAAAGCTTAAGATTTCACAATGAAATACTAAAAGATTTTAAAAAATCCACATTGCAGGTAACTGATTTATTCTGAATAATGAGAGACTCGTTGGTTCATGAATTGTTCATAAACACACTGAGGTGAAATTCATCAAATACATTATTCACCCAAACCGTATCGTTATCCTAGTCTTTCCCCTTAGCAGATGAAATAAAAGATGAATCCCTACGGCAATCTTATTTCCGTGCCTCTAATCTCTCTCTGTTTCTTCTTTTCTTTTCTTCTAGAACATCCATGCTAATAAGTTTACAATAGACCGTCACAGTGGTGTCCTGCGCATCAAAACAGGGGTCACCCTGGACTATGAGAAATCAAGAACACATTTTGTTGTCGTCGTAGCCAAGGTATAAAGCTTTTATCTGAAACTAGAGGAGGTGGGGGGTTGTATTTGAGCAGGACTGATTAGTTCAAATACAAGCGTGACTTAAAGGGTTGCTGAAACATGATGCATAACATTGAGGCAGCAGAGCCGCTCCCTCTGTAACATCTGGAGGTGTGGCGGGTAACAGGGAAAAGTGAGGGAGGAAAGGTGACCAGTGTCTGCTGCTGAACAACATCTGGAGGCATTTGGGAGTGGGTGTCCCACATTTCACTCAGGTCTCAGTGCCAGGATAGTGAGCCCTGCTGAAGAAAGTCACCTGTACGTTTTGAGAGTCACCTAGAAGTGAAGGGTTGGTGTATGCAGCCCCGCTTTCAAGAAGCATCAGGCTTTGGGCAAATGCAGGTGCCCAGGGCTCCCTCGTGCTGCCCAGGGCACGGCTCTACCACAACAAGGGCAAACCCCTGGCAAGCAGGCAGTGCGGGTTGCAGTCATTAGCCACAATAAGACATAGGGCACAGCTGGAGCCACTGCAGCACAAGTGATGGACTTCTTTTCTGGAAACATCTGTGGATGTTTCTTTCTTTCACTTCTCTGCTGCCTTGTGGCAGGAGCTTATTCAAATCCTGCAAATGTTGCTGCACATCCCTTCTTGCCACTGTCATTCTTAGCAGTGCTGTGCCTGTGGCACAGCTGAGGATTCATAACAGGCATTAAAAGTTTATGGATTCCAAAGTCAAGTCTCTCAGGATTCTGTGGGGACCTGTCACACAGACAGACTTGCATGGGTGGAAAGAGGATGATTTTGCTGTTACTGATGGTGACTTTGAGTTTCTCATGTTTTATGAAAAACATACAGATCTTTTATGTATTTATTTAGCCAGGGTTCATTTGAGGAGAAGTAACAAAATTTGGCTTAAATGCTGCCTTTGGGGCAGTAAGGAGGAAAAAAACGAGCATATCTTTTCCAAAAACCGAAATTTTTAGAATTGGTGCAGCAGACATGCTGAACAATTCACACTCCATACACCAGCATGACTACTGACCTTCAGCCAGTGCTCTGAGACTGAGGGTGTTAAAAGCTTCTGAAATTGCGAGTCATCTTTCTAATTGGCTCTGCTGTATCAGTAGCACAGAGTTGATTGTAGTCAAGTCCCCAGAGACTGTTTATACACTGGCTATCTAACAGTTCTTGGCTGCAGAGCTACTCCATGCTTTCCCTTTATCGTGTAAGAGTCCCTTGGAGACTTTGATCATGTGCACTGTTTAATTTCCCCCCAGAAATGCACTGCTTTGCTACTGCGCATTGTCTTATGTTTATGACAAGACTATATGTGGGATGAAAATCTGTAGACCTTAGTCACTGACTTTTTTCATCAGTTTCTAGCTTTTTTTTTTTTCCTGCAAAATACTTGAATTCCCTGTCCCCTGTGTTGTTGATAAAAGATCATGTATGACTGCATATATTGGCATAACCACTTTTAATATAAGAAATTACTTCTGAGACACTGCAAGCTGTCTTCCTAATCAGAGAGGAAGCAGGGCAAATGGAAAAGAGAAAGAAATAGGGCAGCAGAGTTTAATCTGTGTGTTGGGAGAGGGAAGGGATTCCTGGGACTGTGCTTCTGAAGGCTCATGAGGTACATGCAATGCCATAAGCTGATTTGCAGACATGTTTCAGCAGAGGGATCTGATGATGACTTCTCTTCTAGGATGGTGGTGGGAAGCTCAGGGGAGACAACAAAGTGTTTTCAGCCACAACAACAGTTACTGTCAATGTGGAGGATGTTCAGGACACTCCTCCCATGTTCATCGGGACTCCCTACTATGGATATGTCTATGAGGATACACTCGCAGTAAGTGTTGTATTTTGCCTGTAGGAGAACAAGCACAATCTTTCACATCTCAGTCAAGATGGCCCTATGGTTTCTAGCACAGGCTTTATTGGAAACTAGGACCTAAACTCTGATTTAACTCCTAGGTGAAATGAGCTGACCAAATCTCAAGACTTGTTCTTACTTACATCCATTGCAAATTTGCCATGCAAGGCTTCCTGTTGCTGTCATTAAAGTCAAAAAGGATTCTGCCCATTTATGTTGGTCTAAGCCCAGACAGTGACTAAGAGCTCTTCCGTAGCTGAGACCTGCAGAGGCACTTGGCTGAAGATTTAAGCAGATTGCCAGTTACCTCACCTGAACACATCATGCTAGAAGCTTTTGTGTAGTTTTGTGCTGTGTGGTCTCACAGTGCTTTTGTTTTCTAGCTGATCAGTCTGGTACCAGCAGCTGGTTGTGCCAGGTATGGGGAGAATTTATGCCCAAATGCTCTAGACTCTTTGTGCTGTCCCATGGACATCACCTGGGGAGAAGCAATCCCAACATACCCAAAATGCAGGATGCTTTCTGCTCAGTGATGGCTAGATAGGCAGAATGGGCCAGGAAGTCCTTCCAGGCCTAAAACCCACCAGATTATCAAGCAAGCAGGGACATGCTTAGAAGAGCTCCTGTCTGTGCCATCACCTCAGAAATGCCTATTGGCAGATTTGCTTAAAAGGGAGTATACAGCTTAGCAAATTAGTTTATTATATCCACCACGATGCTTTCAGCCACATATTATTCTTGAAGCTGCAAACTAATGAATTTTCTCTATATCTAAGCAGTGGCGTGGTATTGTGCATGGATCAGCTTTCACTCTGATACATAAGATTTAATTAAAATTTTCCTCATACATAGGACAAGAAATGGTATCTGCTCATGAAATTACCCAACATTAGACTATTGATCTCTTTAGCAGTGTGATTGCGCACTGTTCAGCTGATCTTCCCTTGAGTTTTCAGGAAAGATCGTGTCTTTACTTTCTGTCCAAAACTCCAATGTGCACTGCAGCCCTTGCGTGACTGTATACTGCAGTTCAGTTCATAGGCTGTTACATTTCAGCAGGGCAGAGAAGTAATGTTTGTGTACTTTGCAGGTGTTTGGAATGAATGATATTATGTACATTGATTTATCCTGCATAGTTACGTATAGATCTTGAAATAACTATCAGGTGCATACAGGAGTGAGTGTTTACCATGGAAATGAGAGTCAATAAATGTTAATTACATCCAGCCTGAGCTCATAACTTACACCATTATGATATTATAATGATGGAAGCATGAATCGGTCCTTCCCAGTGTGGGTTTTGCTATTAGAATGAACTCCACAGAGAGAGATGCACTAGCCGATTTTAGTGTTGTTTACATGTTTAGTGTTAATTTTGTAAACTTGCTTCTTTTCTCCTTGGTGGAGTTGTCAGGATTTACAAGTACCCTGTCACCTTCATAGGGACTGCACTGCATTTTGCCCAGTGGGCAGATTTTATTGCAGCTTCCAGCACAAATGATAATAAATACAGTTCTGTATTTCCAGTTGTTCTAACAGAACCTTGCTCTTGTTTGAAAAATTCACTCAAGGGTTGTCATGAAAATGTTCCTTGTTGCCATCTGTGATTAACTGACAGTTACTTCAACATTCCCTGGTTTTGCAGCCCCAAACAGTAACACTTTAGTTCAGAGGCCTAAATTGCACAGCTCATTGCCACTTGGGTAAGCATTTTAATACTGACAGTCATCGTCCCTCTGAGTTGATAGGAGTTGTCACAGAGCAAATGGTCTCCAGTACACAAGTTCTGTATGTATGGCCCACGGCCACGTTACTTGCGCAGAAAGCAAAACAGCGAAGGTTTAAGGACAGTTAAATCACCATAATTTCCATCACAATTTTACGCCCTAAACATTCTGTGGGCCAAGTTACTTTGTGATCCCCTTTTTGCTGCCTGTCTGAACTTAATTAGGTAGGACCAAAATGACCTGATGACTCCTCAGCAGTTGCCTGTGTCTCAGCAGACTGTGTGGGCCAGGGGGCACGCAGCAAGGCCGGGAGCCTACACAGCAGCTGCCAGAAGGCATCTTGGTAGTGACCCAAACTAAACCTTGGGTCTCAGATTGATTGCTCCAAATTCTCTGTCCCAGTCTGTGGCTCAGGGTAGGTGTCCCTGGGCACAGCTTCGGATTGCTCCGGCAGCCAGCCAGTCCCTAGGCTGAGGCACCCGTGGCCACAGGGGTTCTGCAGCTGTTTCACACCCATGCTGTCAGCACTGCCCCAGCAGTGGGCACAGAGCAGCCCGTGGGAAGGAGTGCAGTGCTCCTGCTGGTCCTCTGGTGCTCACCCAAAGCTGAGCTGGAAAAAAAGACAAGAGGGTGGGGTGCTGGGCAAACTGGCACCGGTCTCTTGACAGGCGCATGGCATGCCCCAAGGCTGCAGCAAGCCCTGGCCCTCCTGCGGCAGCTGAGGCCCACACACCAAAGTAGGTTGCTCTGCCATCGGTGCAGGCAGTGGCATGGTGCTGGCAGCAGGCTGGCGAGGGCAGGTCACACAGCGGCTCCATAGGGAGTGAGCAGCAGTGGGGCTGTCCCCGCTTTGTATGGAGGTACAGTGCATGGGCTGCGACATACCTGGGAACAACTATAACCTTTGATGTAGGAACAACACAGAGTTGGTCAAAGGAGTAGCATCCAGCTCCTACTCTGCAAAGCCAAGCACTGATTTTTTCTGGCTGGGAGTCAGTGGCCCTTGCTGTGTTCCCCGTACAGCACAAGCAAAGGTACCCACTCTTCCCCCCACACGTCACTGCAGAAAGACTTACAGGAGTTCGGTTTATTAATACGCAGTTGCAATTTCCCTCTTCTTTGATCTCAGCCCATAGACTGTGATTTCCCATTCCTCCCCAGGGCTCTGAGGTCCTTACTGTTGTTGCTCTCGATGGAGACAGAGGAAAGCCTAACAGTATTCATTACTGCATCGTGAACGGTGAGTAGACTTGTCTTGTGTGAAATCTGAAGGGCAGTCAAAACTAGATCTGACATTAAATTAGAATGGGATATGCTAGAGTTTAACAAAGCTGAGACAAACTCTCATGAAATAATGTCAGGTACCTTGAACAATTCCAGAGCCCTGTCTACCAGAGAACAGCCAAGATATGATTCACTGAGTTTTAGTATCTGCTTCACAGAACTATGCTTGGAGTTGTTAATGCTGCTGATTTGTTAGGCATCAGTAGCCTGCTTGTCATTTCAGAAAGTGTAAAGGGAGATGCATTCACTGCTACTGAGCATCTCTATCATTTAATCTGGGAGGCGAGAGAATGCATTGGGAGACCCAGACATGGTATTAAGAGGGATATTTTTATTAATATTGTGATTAAAGTGGCTAAGCGGTCAAACCTCTGATTTCTTGGAAGAAATTATATTTACCAGTGAAGAGACACTGGCTGTATACTGCAGTGACAGAAAGTAGAAGTTATCAGAAGATTAATGCTTTTCATCAGCTATTCTGAGGGTGTCTGTCGCATGTCTTTTAATAGCATAAATGTGAGATTTAGCTGAACTGATGATTCATTAGCTGGTGAAGTCAACGACTTAGCTCAACTAAACTCCAAGCTACAACTTCAGTTTTGTTTGATTCTCTCTTCCTCCAAAACAAGACTTCCATGGCAACAGGGCACCCCAGCTCCCAGGTGTGAGAGATCCCAAAATTTCATAAGAGAAATCTGAGGTGTAGTTGCCGAGCTATGCAGTAAGTTCTTCATTGTGTTACGTGATCTAAACAGCAAGGTCTGGAAAGGACAAGAGAGGGTTGCAACTGAGGTTTTGCCTTGATGTGGGATGGGACCCATGCTGAGGTTCCTTCCCCTCAATGCAACAGAATAGATAGAAGAGGGTAAAAGGATGGTAGAAACATTGAGAAAAAAAAGTTGCAGAAGAGAATAGATGGAAAATGAGAAAAGGTAAAAAGAAAGGTGGAGAATGAGTAGTAGAAACAAATAAGTGGGAGGAAAATATGCTAGACAAGGGAGAAATTGACTAAGGAGAATAAGCGAAGGTAAATGAACCAGGGAAAATGTCAAAGGGAAATAGGATTCATGAGAAAAGATATTAGATTTCCAAAGAAAATAGAGTAGGACAAAAAAGGTAAGTGATTAGGAAAGAAGAAAGAGTGGAAAATGAATATGGAAGTGGTTGACAGATAAGTAGCATAAAGTATGACTTAATGGAGAGCAGGCTTTCCTCGTGCACATTAACACAGGATTTTGTTAGCACGAAATGGAAAAGAGGGGAAGGAAATATGCTTTTAGTCCATAGAAAGTTTAAGAAATAGAGAACAGAAGATTACAACAGGTTTCTGGCCCTGCACCTCAGACCCTGGCATTACTCATGACAAGCCATTATTCCAATACCTGCAGGCTGAGTTGTCAAGGGGCAAGAAAATACTAACAGCAAATAGGAAATTATTTAGTCTTCATAAGAATTTTTTATCCAGGGAGTGTGGGATAATTTTAGAAAATACTTCAATCCTCTGAACATGCTGTATGAAGGAACACACATAATGTTACATACTCTGAGTTACCAGTTTCCCTGCGATAACTAGACAATAACATGAAGTATGGTGGCTTGAAACCACTATTGACTTAAGCTTCTTCTCAGTCAGGATGTACTTTCCAGGCCAATGTGTCTTAATAATTGACCATTGTATGAGTCAATATCTGTTCAATGTTGTGTCTAGTGTACTTTAATGAAGTTGCAGTTATTGCAGGTATTAGCAAAATGGGACCATTATCAGATGGTTTAAAAAGCAGCACTGGAATTGAGTTAGACAAAAAGTAAAATGACTGGGCTTTCAGGTAATCACCCCTTATTTCTGAAGGCTTGATCTCCTCCATTGTAAGGGTTTTCCTCTCTTTTCCTTTCAATGGTAGGCTCTGCCACAAAGCATAGATTGTGGCCAATACCATAGGTGAAGTAGCATGGAGGGGTGCCCATAGCCCCTTGGCAGAGCAGGGCAGGGCCCTCTGAGCTGCCAGCTGGTCCCCTCCTCAGGCATCACCCTGCTTTTGGTTGTGATGGCAAGATGTGATGAGACGCTGCTGCCTCTCTGCAAGCTGGCATTTGCTTCAGCACAAATTCACCAGGTCTCAAGGGACCACGGCCCTGTAACTGATCTGCTCAGATCAATGGAATTTAGGTCAGGAGCAGCAAAGTCAGCCTTCAGTTCTGTCCTGCCTGTGTCAGACTCTGCCTCAATGAAAAAAAAAACTGGGGTTTATCCCAGATCCTCCAAAACCACTTTTTGTTCAGGACAGCCTTGCAAAGGGTGAGAGTTTTTTAACAACTACATGTCTAAGGCAAGAAGATGCTTCTCCAGAGATGCTGTCTGCAGAAAGAGTGACTATGTTTCTTTCAGACAGATTGTCAGACTTCTCACCTCAGCTGATATTAGTGAGAGAAATGTTCTTGTTTCTCAGAGACTTAATTATGCATTTGCTAATTAAAATCAGGAATGTCTATTTTTGTCTAAACCAGCATATAAAGAAGACAGCATAATAGAAATGAATACCAGATTTGCATGCCTGGTTGCTGAGGCTTGAAGGGAACCTGACCAGTGTGGGAAGAGGAAAGTGAGGGCAGCTGCCCATAGGGGCAGAGCTCCACTGAGCCGTTCCTAGGGGAGGAAACCCTTTTTGGTCCCCGTCTGTGTTTTCATCTCACTGTGACCAGGCATAGAAATTCTTCATTTTTAAAAAGCAGCTTCAAATCTACTCATAGATGTAGATACACATATGGACAAAGATACGCTTAATGAAGTATATGGTTGATTGCTCATGCTCGTTCAGAAAAAGGAAGTGTGGCATGTAACTAGAGCATCTTGGTTTTATTGCAGGAAGTGAAGGTTCATTCGAAATCAGCAACACAACTGGAGCCATTTCTGTCATAAAAAGCCCAAATCAACTCAAGAAAGAAGTGTATGAACTAAAAGTTCAGGTATGTTCTGTGGCCACTTGAAGACTGTTGGTCTTAAATGCCATGAGTAGGTATGATTGTCTAAAATAGCTCAATTTATAGCCGACTTTACCCGTTTTAGAAAATACCTCCTATATTTGAGGAGCGTGCCGGATAGTATAAAAGAGAATAAACTGCTTTTGTTCCTTGGGATATTTAGTGTCTCAAATTCTTTCAAATGAAGTCATCTTGTCCTAATTTCATCTCTGAGTCTCGAGAATCAACATCCTTTACAATATGTAGATAACTGTTCTCTGTGTTTTCAGATTTTATTGCTAAACTGGGAATTAATGTCTTGTAACCTCTATGTGATGAGATAGGTAACTGTCAAATCTAGGATTGGTAATAGGACTGGGGTATATCATGCAATGTCATATCAGCATCTACTCTTGAAGCATTGATCAGCCACATACAAATACATGCTAACACTTTGATGAGCTAGTATCAGTGTGACAGGCTGCATTATTTTAAGCAGTTTCTAAAGACCAGGAGTGTAAAAATGTACGGTTAAATTGTGAAGACTGTATCAGTTTCCTTCAAGCAAATGCATATTACAACCACGAGAGTTTGTCATGGTAAGAACAATATTGTCTAAAGGCAGCTTTGGGGCCTTGCACACTGTCAGAACCAGCGTAGCATCCCCAAGGCATTTGCTGGCTAGTGAGCTCAAGCAGCTTGCTGAACCTGGGAGATCACAGAGTTCCCACTGTCCAAGTTAAACTCAGTCACCATTTCTTCCCCTAATCTCTCTGGTTTACTGCAATCTGCTAGCGCTTTCCAGATGCAGGATTAGTTAAGCCCTTGCAAGCTTTTCTGATCTGCTAGTTATATCTGTGGTGACCCAGAGCTTGTGCAGGCTACAAAATCAGCCTGAGGAACCAAAAGGGTGTTGTATTACCCAGTGTAGGTAGTGACAGGCGCCTCAGTTACCAGACTAGCATCTTCAAGGAAATTTAGCAGTCTAGTGCCTTTGGTTTTGAGCCCTTTGAGCAAAAAAGCGTGTTAGAGAGAGCTGTTTTGTTACAAAAACACCAACCTGAGTTTCTGTCCTGACAGAAGAAATGTCTTAAGTTCAGTCCAGTGAATCAGGCTGCATGTTGGAATTGTTGAAACTCAGACAGATTTGATCTTTCAGTTCAGAAAAATGCCAACTAGGTTTGCTTGTCTGTCTAAACTATATCCAGCTTAAATTAAGCTCATCCGGACAGCAAAGCCGAATTGTAAATCAGAGACTAAATCTCAAAAAAGAAAAAAAGTGTGTCATTTTTCTTTTTCAAATATTTGCCTAAATACCACAAGTACAGTTTTTCTCGCAGAGTTTTCAAGGCTGCAGTCCTTGCCTGCAATGTGAAAATCAACTACCTGTGGTACCACAGCAAATTTAAAGATTGTCTTCCTTTTCTAGTCTGTCAACACTTTAGGCAAGCAATTACCCTGCCTCTATTAGATTATCTGTCTTTAGAGAACTGTTTTCACCAAGGGTGAGGTGCTAAGCTCGCAAAATGAGGAGGAGATTTTTTTTTTGGTGGGGTTTTATTGGGACTGGTTTATTACCATAATCTTCTAATCATCATAAACTTCAGTGTGAAATGGACTGAGATTTCTAGAGAAATATAAGGCTGTGAATCTTTGTACAAGTTAGCGTGTTAGGGTGATTTGTACATGCAGAACAATACCTGAACGTGGAACTGAGGAAAGAGAGTATACCCTCATCATTCTTCTCTCTCTCCTGCCTGCTGTAGGCATCAGAAGTCAGTCAGGAAGGTGATGTCTCAGTGTACGCTTTTGCCATGGTGACTATACGGGTGGTTGACCTCAACAACCATCCACCAACGTTCTATGGAGAAAATGGTCCCCAGAACAGATTTGAACTGACCATGTACGAGCATCCCCCAGAAGGTGAAATCTTGAGGGGATTGAAGATTACAGTCAATGATTCAGATCAGGTAAGTGGAAACTATGTGGACTTTCAGTTTTCCTGCCCCATTTTCCCAAAGACTAGAAAGAGCTGTCAGATGGGGAAATGTCATTTTAGGAACTCAACTCTTTCACCTGCATTCCCCAAAAGCCTAGGGCAGACAAAGTAGTCATAGGGTCTATTACCACCGAGAGTTTGGACTTAGTCTGTCATATACTGTTATGTCGATGAGAAGGGTGGTCCTAAAGCTGCAGCACAGTTCTTGTGGTGACTAAAGTTGAACAGTCCTTATGAACTTCCCCTAACTACTGGTTACATTCAGTTGTTGTCAGCGTAATGTCCTAGAAAGTATTCCCTTTGTAGATTTACTTAGACCTTCCAATCACTTTAGTAACTTCAAGTGCAGTTGCTGTCTGTATCTTCTCAGGCCCTGCTGGAAACAATACAGTCCATACCCTTACATTGATTTTATTACAATATATTGTCCTTCTGGCCCTTGTGTTGCAGCCAGAGTCTGCAGTGCATGCTTTGATAAATCATTCCCCCTGGAGTGATATTTTTAGGTAATCTGAAAAATTATGCCAGAGCCAAACTAACTCTAACCTGATAAAGGAAAAGGAAAGAAGACTCCATCCATCTCAGCCTGCTACCTAACTGACCTGTGATGCCCATAGATACTATGGTGATGGTTGCTATAGGGATCCCTAAGCTAAATACTGTATGAATGGCATCCATCTGAGTTAGCCTGAGGTTAGGTAGTGACAAGAGAAAAGCTTAATGCATCTGAGAACTGTATTACTATTGGAAAGAGTGCTCTTATATAACCATGCTCAGTATTGTGCTGTTTTGACTGTATTGTAGTCTATCAAACCTACTAGCTTCTTCCCCCTCCCTCCTGCTGCTCTGCAGCAAGCAGATAAATGACTGCTTTCAAAGCAGTGCTATGTCTATCCTGCTATTGTCACAGGGGATGTTGCTGCAGAAGGAAAGAAACAAAACCCATCTCTTCTATTTAGAGACAAAATATATACATATCATGTGTAGGCGGACAAAATATTCAGGCTGCAAGGTAGGCTATAAAATAAGCAGAAAACATTGCTAAATACACTGTATAGATTTCTCAAGAAGTTTCCTAGTACAGTTGGAGTCCTTTTCTTTTAAGGCATAGAATGCAATGTTTTCCCTTCTGCACAAGAGGACTGTATAGAGAAGAAAATTAAACATATGTCTGTTTTTGTCACATCATTAGTGACTCTTTCTTTTGGGGAGTGGATGGTACAGGTGAGGAGGAGGAAGCTGTGGGCAAGGTCTGTTTCAGGCCTACAGTTTGATGGAAATGCCATCTTTACTTGCAAGAACATTATGCAGAAATTTCTTCCCCAGCCCTCTTCATCCAACAGACAAAGCTTAGGGCTCAGTGCTGTTGTTCCTTCAGCCATTCCTGTGCCCCATGGCTGTCTGCTTGGAGACATGCAGCAGCATGGCTTGCTCCGAGCAGATATGGGTTGAGTGGATGTCGCTGTCAGAAATCACTCAGCCATTGGAGGGAGGCAGTTCTCTCCCTGCCAATGCCACCGTCCCTCCAGTCATGTACAGTCCCACGCACAGAGGACTTTGTATGGTCAGACAGTCCCCATCAGCACTATTTTCCGTAGTCCAGCAGCTCTGGCTTTGTGTGTTTGGCTTTACTACCCAGCAAAAGAGAGCCTGTTGTCATCTCTGTATCTGTGGGCGTTTGTATGACCAAACAATGCAGACCACTGAGTTTGGATCCAAGATCATTCTGGTTCCCTTGGGGGACTACTGCTGAATACTTTTCCTCTTGACATGAGCTAAGGTTGCAGCAAGAACTGCTCATAACAAGTCCTCCAGGGATACAGCTGAAAGTAGAGTTATCCTGTATGAAAGTTATTATTAGAAATTCTTCATCTCGAGATTCATGCTAGGGGGAGAACATGGCACCAGCCAGGCAGTGAATCTGGCTGGTTGTCACAGTGCGTGACATCGTTCGAGAAATCGATGAACTGGGGGAGTTGGTACAACGGGCTCAGCTCATTTCCATGCCTCCCCGGTAAGGCAGAAATATGAGAATCCCCATTTCATCTTTTCTTTTCCATGCTCCAGTTTCATTTAAAAGAATTGGTCTGTCCATCTGGCTCTGGCTCACCCTTCCCAACTCACACACAGGTGGTGGTAACCTTCTATATATTGCTGCTTCCTATGTCCTCTCTGGCTAGAAGTTTTATCTATATTATGGGATTTGGCTTCTCACTTCACCTGGAGCTGTCAAATATGTGTCATATTTCATCCTGCACAAGTGGAGCTCCTCTATCCTCCCAAGTGCATCAGCTTACAAAAGGTTTAGTGGCTGTAACTCTGGGCTAGCTTAACCCAGTCAGTACAAACCATGGAGTACCACCTCTGTTTGGAAATTGCAGATCTCTGTGGCTCTGTGTCATCATCCCAGGCTGTGAGCTCTTAGGACACAGACTGTTTTTTTGACAGGTGCATTGTCCTGACCTGGGCAGTGCAGTTGTCTTTCCTTGCCAGGAACCAGGAGGAGGCAGGACTTGCCTGCCAATGTGCACGTGGTGTCATCTCTGTCACCTGTACTGTCTCACAGTGTGTGGCGCGAAGGCCAAGGCTGCGTGCCTCAAGAGTCCCTCTCTTAGCCAGTCCTGCTGCAGGGTTTTTCCATTATGACTGAAAGAATAACCAAGCTTGTCAATCTATTTTAAGAAAAGCTCTGTCTGTCTTCTGACCAGGGCTGGAGGGATTATATAACTAAGCTTCTTAGCAGTCTCTTGCCCAGGGGATGGAGAGCAGAGGGCTCTAAGCAGTAAGACTCATTCTAATTTTATGCAGCGTGAAGAAACAGAGCCAATCTAGGCTGTAAGAAATGCATCGTTCACTGAAAACAATGCCGTATCTTTCATTCACAGGGAGCCAATGCTAAGTTCAACCTCCGTCTTGTTGGACCTGGTGGCATCTTCCGAGTGGTTCCCCAAACTGTCCTGAATGAGGCTCAGGTTACAATAATAGTGGAAAATTCTGCTGCTATTGACTATGAAAAATTCAAGGTGTTAACCTTCAAGGTACTTCTGCTTTCCGGATCCTCTCTGTCTGTGTATAAGATATGTGTATGATGGCTTATGTATCCGATGGGATTTAGCTTCTTAATCCACCTGGAGCTGTCTGATCCATTGTCAGTGACATATACCATATAAGGGAAACTAATTTCTGCCCCTTGTTCATCAACTTTCAGAGGTTTAATGGATGCATCTGTGGACTAATTTAGTCCAGTCAGTGCAAAATGTTGAGTGTTATCTCTCTGTGGAAACTGCACATGTTGGTGGCTCTGAGTCATTCTAGACTGAATCCTAAGGGTGTTATTTCTGCTCTTACAATGATAAATTCACAGGATGAAATCCTAATTTCTCTGGAGCCAGAACTTTACCTGCTTAGTCCTAAGTAATTTGGTTCACGATCATGCTTTTGAATGTTGGCAGGCTGAAGACCTGAGCTGACTGGAAGATAATTTCCCAAAATTGCTCACTGCCTTTGTCAGAGTGTATCTATCTATATGGCCTTTTGCAGACTGATCTGAGGCTATCTCACCCATGCTCCAATCCAGCCATACAAGAATCAGCTTTCATCCAAAAGCGGGACCCTTGCATTATCACCTTCCCTCATGGATTCATTGGCTCATCAACAAGATAATTAAGTAGCCTGGTTTTGTCAGCTGCCTCTGAACATGAGTATAGATGGTTCAGTTCTGACTGCAAAGAATGGCGTATACAATCCCTGTAACTGGTAAAAAAAAAAATTGCCAAAACTACCTAGCTGAGAATTAACATACGCTAGTTTTGATTTTGTACAGAAAGTGGCATTTTTAGCACAGTCCAGAAGCCAACTTCCTGGATTTTGTTCTCACCCTTGCTACGTGGTTTGCTTTGTGTCCTTAGCAAGTCATTTCACTGCAGTATGCTTCGTGTCTCCTCTTGTAATGTTCCTTAGTCATTTTGAGCTTCATAGGTTATAGATGCTACAAAAATATGAGGCATCATTACTGTATTAAAATGGAAGATTCTGAAAGGGCTATAAAGTGCTACCGAAACTAATTATAATAAGCGCACATTTATTCAGGTTAAACTACCAAAAGACCAGTAAAGAAGTTACACATGGCCTCCTCATGAATACTAATAGAAATCAAAGTAGTTAATGTGATTGCCATGAACACTGAAAGAACTAATTACCAGGAAAAAGGATATATATTTTTTTAGCTTAAGCAGTTATTCACTTTTTTTTTTTTGATGAAATTATTTCTACTGGACAAAGACCATAACGCTTTGCTAAAAATGCAGAGCCTTTGTCTAGATTCCAAATGAAGAACGTGCAGCTGGATGATATGGTAGTAATACATGGCAGTGAATACTTTATAAAGACCTCATTGCTGTCTCCATTTCCCTGAAAAGTTCAAATCGCTTCCTACCCAGTTTTAGTTGCCAATGTAGTCATTCTGGTTAGAATTTTGGATTGAATATATTCTTATTTCTATTTAACATGTATCTCGCAGCAGCTTTGAGAAGCTATTTTCAAGGGTTTTTTCTGTAAACAATGATCCATCTTCTCTGGTTTGTTACTGAACAGTAAAATGCCAGAGAAGAATTAAAGCTAATTTGACTGGGAGGTGCACTGAAAAACTACCTGAAGCAAAGGCTGCTAGAGAAAAATCTATCTTCCATTTAGGGCTGGCTCTTAAATGCAGTTGGTAGTCAGGACCTCCTTCATTTTCAGCCGTCCAAGAGCTAGAGTGGGTTTCCCAAGGTATGGTAGCTGTGGTAATTCGTACCCCTCCAGCCTGCCTCTTAGATCTCACGTCCCTCTGCCACAGGGGCCAGATGTTGCTATCCTACCTTGTCATGGTCTGACGTGCTTTGGGGGCCAAACCTCCTGCCTCCACCCCCTTCAGCTTAGAGTACATCCTGTGTTGACAGGAGCCTGGACCTACCTCTTGCATTCTGCAGACACTCACATCTCCTGCAGAACAGGACCAGATGAGGCTGCAATTATCTTCAGTTGCCAAAATCAAACTCTATTTTAAAAATTTACTTGCCACTTTCAAGATTATATCTCAGTTTGCTCTTCTGGCACTTGTATTAATTGTTGATGCATAGTCCTGTGAAGTAATAGTTTTATGCTATTTTTTTCTCTCTCTGTATAAAACAAACAATACAGCTCTGCATAAGACATTGCAGACAAGTAAGCTGACAAAAATCACTCCCTGAAGGAAGATGTTGTCAGCATGTTGACATAGCTGGACTACGGCTGCTAAAAGGAAGGGGAATAAGAAATGAATGTAGAAAACAAAGTAAAAATACTAAGCCCTCATAAGGTGGGCTGATTCCAGCAGCAAAGATTGTTTCACTGCAGATGTTATAATTTAGTTATAGCTCCACGTGCGCGATAAGCAATAAGATTTTATCTCTGTCCTGCTTTAGGAGCTGAGATTGCTCATGAGCAGGTTTTTGCTGACGTTTGCATGGTTGTCCCTTCAAAAATTTCTTTTGCTGTAACACCATCTGAGACTCCTAAACACAAAAGTTAGCACAGAGACGCAGGGACCAAACTCCCCTTTTAGAACAGATGTGTCCTATAGTAATTACAAGCAATCCTTCGAGATAAATTTCTTCAAGAACCCTTTCACTTTTTATTTCCAACCATTATAAATGTTCACACAGTAGGAACAGCTCCAGGAGATGATACTGAGATAGCCTTTTCCCTGTCTACTTAAACTGCCCAAACCCTGTCACGTCTGGGTGATACAAGCTTCTCCGAATCTAGCAGAGCAGGGACTTGAACACAGCGTGTGCCCCACAGCCACTGAGCAGTGCCGTTGCTGGTGTGCATCTCATGCTGCCTGCCCCACGGGGAGCCGTGGCATGGCGGGAGAGAGGCCGAGCGCCCGGCGACCGGCACGGGAAGGATGAGCTCCCACAGCCCTCGTCTCAGTGAGGTGCTGCACCAACGGAGCAGGAGATGCTGTGGTAGCCCTGCTCCACCTTCCAAAGCTCAAAGCTCACTTAGGCATTCACCCTCTTTGAGGGAGCTCCCGGGATGTATGTCTACTGGGAATTAAACCCCTGCAGCTAGATTTTTCAGTTGAGCCTCTCATATCTCAGTTAAATGTCTGCTCACTAGTCTATTAGTGGTGTGCTGCCCTCAGTAGGTTTCTAGAGCTCTCCTGCTTTGTGTTAACTAGGTCTCTGCCCAACCATGAAAACCAAATGGTTGACCGTTGGTTGTTGTGTTAGCCATTTGGGTTCAGCCCCTACAGAGCCCAAGACTGATGTCCTAGTGCTGATTCTGTGTGATGCAGCCACCTGTCAGGGACCAGACGCCTGCGCCAGAGGCTGTGAAGGGCTCAGTGTCTCTCGGTACCTGTCGCTGAAACTGCTCTTCCTTGCTCAGTTGCACTCCACTTGAGCAATAGGCTTGCTGCTCTGCCAGCTCAGGCTTCCTACTGACATTCCCCTAATCTACTGAGGAGCAAACAGAGACGCAGTAGAAACACTGCTGCTATTTTGTGTTAGATTAAGAATAAGAGAGAAAACATTTGGTGTCAAGTAGCTGAAGTCCTGTGGAAACATGCTTGTCTGAGGCTTTGGAGGTAACTCACCAAACTCTTGCTCAGATCTGTTCCCAAGTGGGGATCTGAGAGCACCCTGCTGCCTACTGAGAACTGCCACACTCCAGATGTCTGGGTTATCCTCTTCCTTCTCTGTGGTGGCTGCTCTTCCCTGCATCAATTAGCTGTGCGTTAAGGGGCAATGTGAGAAACCAACTTGCTAACCCAGCAATGCCATCCCTGAGCTGAGGGATGAGATAGGCATGTACTAGTGTTAAGCTCTGCTGACAGCCAGCCAGAACATCCATGCTGCTGGCTTCTCCCCATCCCTGGTCTTGCTGTATGTGGTTGCCTGCCCTTTCAGCTGAGCAGAGTTATGAGAATGTGTTAGGCCAGAGCTCTCTTCCTCCTCAGAGGCAGTGAGGCAATTCAAAAGTCACGGTGGGTATATGCTGAAGTCCTAATCAGCATGAGGCAGTGAGGGTAGAGTCCCAAGAAGCCTGGTGGTAGGAGTTCTCACAAACTTTGTGAAATGGGATTCTGCTGTACATGCCTGATCCCTGACTATCCTGCATTTGGGGTGGGAGTACTGCTGCTTCCAGCCATCCCAGGGCACTGGTTATCTCGTCTCTTTACCCTGTTTGGTGGTTTATTGGATCATGATTCAATTTATGTGATTATTCAAAATTATTCAGTGCTTATGTTTCCCTAAGTTCTAGGAGCTGCCCAGGCATGGGTGTTTGCTTGCTTCTGTTATGGCTTTTCAAGCTGTGTTGGTTAGTTATGACTAATCACATGTGTCACGTGAAGTCTAATATGTATACACAGGTTTGAAGTTCTCTTTCCACAGCTTGATTGCCCGTTGCAAGCATGCACAAACAAGCCTAGGCTGTACACTGACCTAGCTCATCATCTCCCTGTTTTTGAGCTGTCTGGTCCAACCAAGCTAAAATGCACCAATGTGCCATGGGTAGTGGAAGGAAGCTCCGTAAGAAGTAATAATAACTGCGTTGTAGTAATTTCCTGATTTTCTCTTCTTAGCTTCTTGCAATAGAGGTGAACACGCCAGAGAAATTCAGCTCAACAGCCGACATAGTGATACGCTTGCTGGATACCAATGACAATGTCCCGAAGTTCTCCTCTGACTACTACATTGCCAGGATCCCTGAGAACTCCCCAGGGGGCTCCAATGTAGTTGCTGTTACAGTAAGTTTTGTTCATCCCTTAAGAAATGTTCTGTTTTCTAGGTGTCTGTGGAGACAGTTCAAGTACCTTAAAAATAGTGGACAGAGGCAAGTAGCAAATCTTACTCACCATTCAGTTTCCAGACTGAACTCCAGTTCCTTTCCAGAATCAACAAAAAAACCCCCGACTTCTGAAAAAATAAAGTTTTAGGCAAACATTTTTCAGAACAACAAATTTACTTTGGTTTTTAATTAAAAGCTGTCTGCTTGTAAGACAAATCACATGGTCTGTGAGTAATAAGAAAGCCCCAGTCAAATCACTGTCCAGCAGGAAGATTCAGTTATGACGAAGTGGAATTGAATTTACTGGATTTGCTTATTTAAGTACGAGTAAAAAGAAAACAAGATGGCTGCTTAGCAGGTATTAGTCTCCTCCTCCTGGGAGGAATCTGGCTGCTAAGTGCATAATTAGACAGTTAATGAAGGCAAGAACATAACATTAAAATCCTTAGAGCTGGGAAAGAAAGATCTCTGTGTGTCTTCTCACAGTGGGAAAAATATGCCTATAGATTTTCCAGTATCTCACATTTTCATAGAAAGAAAGTCAGGGTATTACATGGGCCCTATGTGCTGCAGAAGCATTTCCAGCCATTGGTGTGAGCTGTATCTCTTTAGTGCAGCTGCTAGGACTGGAGACAGATCTCATGTTGCAAAGCCAAGAAGGCTTCTGGCCATGTGGGGCTCGGTGGGTGATGCAAGTCACCTTGCAGAGGCCTCATGGGTAAGGATGATGGTGGCAGGTTGCCAGCGATCTCCATCTCAGGCTGGCTGCAAGTAAGAAAGAAAATTAAATAATCAGAGTAATAAAGCACTTGAAGGCAAATTTTTAGGGATGGAAGAATGAAAGAAGTGGAACATAAACAAAGCAGAATAGGTTATTAGAGGAAACGAATATGAAAGCTGTAGAAAACAGAGACTCCCAAACACCACTGTCTTTGCAGCAAGAGGAATAAAAAATTCTTGGAGGTAGACAGCAAAAAAAAGAAATTTAAAAAGAAATTTGCAAAAGCAAACTAGCCATTCTGAGCCAAGGTGCACAGGACAGTGTAGCTGAGGAGTCCATGTAAAATTTACTGTCCTGTGCTGTCAACTCAGTACTTGACCCAGAATCGCAAATATACTTGACAAACTGAGATACTGCAAGTACTCAGGATGGCAATTCTGGCAGAAGTTCCAGGCGTGCAAATGTTTTAGGAAAAGTTAGGCAGTCCTAAAGTAGACTGCGGTGAAAATTATGGGGTGAGAGAATCTGACAAGATTCATGTCAAAGAACTAAAAAAAACCTATCAGCAGGGCTGCAGGTGTGTTATGTTAACCATGCAGGAATCAAAGACAGTGTTCCAGTTTTCAAATATTTAAACAGGAAGATGAATGAACCAACCACTGCCACCATGAATTTTGATGGCCAGATACAACGGTATAACACCTCCTCAGAGCTATCAGAGAAGCAGGAGCTTATGGAAATAGCTGTTGCCAAATCAATAGCTTTCCTAATCCTGAGCTAAGAAAGGAAGCCAACAAGAGTCCAGAACAAAGATATCATCTAGTGTAGTATCTGACTAAAAGTCACACAGGCACAAGAGTGATTAAAATATAAACAAAGCTGAAATATTGTGTTTAGATTGAAACATTTGTTATGCATTACTTTAAATTGAGTCAATTAAACAAGCAGAGGCTTAAAAAGTACTCTATATTACATTAATATTTAACTGATAATTAGGAAGGCTTGAGAGTGTGCAGTTTGTTCATGTCATTGAGGTTAGCTTCATCTCTATTAAAGGAAGGATTGTTAAATGTCAATAGATGGAGCCATCTAGTGGCTTTCTCCCTGCTACAGCCTCTGGGCACCAGCCTGGCCAGGAGACAGGCAGCATCTTAGCAGCTTCCCTGGGACAGCCAGTGACATTTCCCTGTGTTGGATTTTGCAGTTTTCTAGGTGCACATTTGGTTATGTGATTTCCCCCTAAAAACGTGATGGCAAAAAGAGAGGAGAGTATTTGCGTTTTTAAATGGCCTGTTGTTAAAAGAAAAATGAAACGTTTCTTTTCGCAATTTAGTAAAGGACGACTTTCTTATTTTCTTTTCTTAAGGCTACAGATCCAGATTCAGGGCTTTGGGGAGAAGTCAAGTACTCTATCTATGGAACAGGAGCAGATCTGTAAGTAAAAAAAAAAAAAAAAAAAAAAAAACAATTTTTTCAAAGAAAGTTTTAAAAAAAATTTTTTTTCATTTCCCTGTGTTGGATTTTGCAGTTTTCTAGGTGCACATTTGGTTATGTGATTTCCCCCTAAAAACGTGATGGCAAAAAGAGAGGAGAGTATTTGCGTTTTTAAATGGCCTGTTGTTAAAAGAAAAATGAAACGTTTCTTTTCGCAATTTAGTAAAGGACGACTTTCTTATTTTCTTTTCTTAAGGCTACAGATCCAGATTCAGGGCTTTGGGGAGAAGTCAAGTACTCTCTCTTTATGGAAAAGGAGGAAAATTTTAAAAAAAAAAAAAAAAAAAAAAAAAGAAAACTATGTTATCTAAGCAGAGTTTTAAAAGAATTTTTTTTTAAAAAAACCAGCCTCATTCTTGACCTGCTCATTTCCAAGGACATTTATGCCATGTTCTTTGTGAGTTCTGTGAAAACAACAGCAGAAAAAATAGCATGATCATTGAACATCTGCTTCACGAACACATGGAATTTTACCCACAAGCCCCCAAAGAGACATAAGGCAGCTGAAGTACCAATACACAGGATCTGTTCAATCACCATTTGAAAAACGCTTGTAAGAGAAAGAGGAAGTTGTGGTCTAGTTGTTGTGAAAAGTCAGTTCTGGAGAGGAAAAAAATCCCTTGCTCTTTCCCCTTCCCTTTCCATATAGCTGTACAAATAGTTCAGTTTCAACTCTTGTTGAAATAAATCAAAGACAAGACTTTCAAGAATACAGACTTTAGCTTTGGAGGCCAGCTGCATTGGGTGTTCAAAGCATTTTATATATTTAAACTTCATAGTCCTGCATCAAGGAAGAAGGGAATCCCATGCTTACTTGATCTGGTAAGGATGCCTAGCTCCCTCTCCCTGTCTGTGGGGACAGTGCTGGGGTAAGAACATCCTGAAACACTGGTTTCTCCCACACTGTTTCCATCCCAGCAGTTGCCCTGGCCCGTTTGTTGGGGCTCCCAGCCATGGCTAGCATCACTGGCCATCACAGATATTGCTGCTGGAACCTGCAGCTCCTGCTGGACATGGTGGGGCTGCAGGGCAGAATACTGGAAATGAATGAGCTTTTCAGGCACTCATCCCCAGAATTCATTTTTCGTGATACATTATCCACCTGGAGTTAAAGCTGAATACTTCTTGTTAAGGTCAAAGCCATTTAGGAGGCACAATCAAAGTCCAAAATCCAAGATGTTAAGGGTGAACCTCTTCTGTAGCCAGAAGGATACACGTTTCCAGGATGGATTATTTTGAGCTCTTCACTAAGTCCTTAAGCTAGCTGCTAACTGCATAGAGGCAAGCAGGCAAAGGTCATGTCATGCAGGCAGACCTCTTAGGTTTAAAATGAAGCAGCTGGTACAAAGAAGCTTGTGCAGGCTGTTGACAAAGGATTTAGAAAAAACTGAGTGCAACTTTATTCTGGTTGGCGTTATGGGGATGTTCAGACTCACTGTTGAATGAGGAAATTGAGATGTGAAGACTTTTTTGTTCCTTCTTAAGTATGATTTTTTTTTTCTTTTCCTTGTGCCAGGATGGCATGGCTCTGTAAGGCTGGATTGATTTCCTAGCGCTGGGACCTCCAGATCTGCCGAACACACAGTTTGATGCAGATTTGAGCGTTTCAATTAGAAGCATGATTTTTTTTCTGTCTCAGGGGTTGCATCAGTGGATATGCAGTTGCATTGGCAGAAAAATGAGTTGTAGTGGAGTAAGAGGAATAGTGTTAACTATTGAAGATAAAACCTTTATGCTGGTAAAACTACATTGAAGCTGCCAGTGGGAGTGGGGTACACTGCTGTAATCTCTTCACATCTCAGTGCTTCTATTCTTCTACTAAAATGGGAGTGATAAGAGTTCTCTCTGCATGGCTAGGCTGGGTTGGGTGCTGTAGGAGGCACTCAGCACAGGCCGTGTCTCTTACCAAGAGTTTGCGCAGCTCTTTCCACCTCCAGGTCTTGGCTTTCATCAAGACTTGGATTTGTATTTAACAGAGTAATGAAAACAATTGAAGATTCTGGATTATTAAGTGCCCCTTTTATAATCACTCTCAATTGTGCTCACAGTTGGAATACAGAAAATATTTTGTTATCCTGTATATTAATTAAAGTGTATATAAAACCTTTCATCTGTTAAAAACCCTACTGCTCGGAGCCTACACTGTCAGTCCATTTTTAAAAGACACTGGGTTGGTATCTTCTCTATAAATCCAAGCTTTTGGCTGACACTTTTGACAGTGTCTCAGTAATTACAAATGTGTAGATCTGAACTTGCTACAGATAAATCTGAACACCCACTCCATCCCAGTGCCAGTCTATGGAAAAGTGCTTATTTTTGGAGGAGATAATTTGCCCTGCACTTTGGGGGATTTGAGAGCAGCCATTTTTCTTACCCATTCTAAGAAGCGAAGAGCTTAAATATGATATGCAGCACGCTTCCCTTAGCTATTGAGGTGATATCAATCAATCTTAATTTATGCAGGACATGATCTAATACATTGTACTTATAAACTGAAAAAAAAAGGCAGTTCCTTAATGTTTTAATGCAAAGAAATCACTCTGGGAGAAGGCCATCACACTGAGCATTTATTGAGGACAAAGCCTTTAAAAGAAAATGTAGCTAAAATGGCTAATGCACGATAGACAAAAACACCAGACACTAATAGTTCTCTGGTTTTCAGGCCTAAAGGAACTAGCCAAAAACAGGTAGAGTGAATGATTTGGAAACATCAGACAGACAGGAGTTAGGTGAAGAGTACCAGTATTTGGGCACAGCATTTCAGTGTTTAGAGCCCAGCTTTGCCCCAGACTGTAAACACACATTAAGTGACAAAAAAAACCCAAAAGTCTTTCTGTGCTTCTTTTCCAGGTTCCTAATCCACCCATCAACAGGTATAATTTACACCCAGCCCTGGGCTGTATTAGATGCTGAAGTGAACTCGAAGTATAATTTCTATGTGAAGGCAGAGGACACAGATGGGAAATACAGCTTGGCTGAAGTGTTTATCACTGTGCTAGATGTCAACGACCACTCTCCAGAGTTCAATGAAAACATCCAGGAAAAGACAATGATCATCGGGACACCGGTGAAGATAGAGGTGAGAGACAACACAGTGTGTCACAAAGCAGAGTGCTTTGGAAAAGCCCCAGCTCTGCTGTTTATTGCTCAGGGATCATGATGAATGCCTGAAAGCTGGCTTTTCCTGGGGCTTTAGTTTGCACATCCATGGTATGTAACAAATTCATTAAACCATGGAATGATAGTATTTACAGACTGCTGAGAAGAAGAAATAAATTCTATGGGCAAAAGATAAAGTTCTGTTACAGTATTTGAACCATCAGCTGGTGGAGGATCCTGGATTATACAGTGATCATAGGAAGCCCAAATAAGATGGGTGAATTAAAGTACAGGGTTTTGAATACTTAACCTTCCTGCCATGCCTTTGTGCTCAACTGCACAACTTCTCTCCCTTCACTTTGTGGAATTGCATTCATTGATCCAGTGTGAAACAGGAGGTTAAAAAAATGCAATCACAATTCACAGGCAAAGGAGCAGAACATCCTATGTTATGCATATTTGAATGCATATAGTGAAGCCTGATTACACAACACCTAATGTTAGCAGAATAAATACCACAGCGCAAAAATTAAGGCAGCTATAGTTTATAGTGTGGAGCTAATCCCATTGTTCTCTATTCACTTCACATTTGTCCCTCACGCTGTGTGAGAAACTCCCCAGCAGTGGACCATTTGCATTCTACAGATAGGTTGCGGTTCAGTTTTTCCTCTGATTTTATTTAATCTCAAATAGAAATCGCTTATACAAAAAGAACTCTAGTCCTGCTGTTTTTCACTAGAAAATGTAGCATAGCTGATACCAGAAAAGGGGGAATTGTTTCCAAGATGAAACAAAAACAGCCCAGTCATCTCACAGCATGCATATTATCGGAAATGAATGCTCAGAAACTTTTAGAGTTTTGTCTTCAGGCAAAGATACAAACAATAACATCTTTGTTCTTCACACTTGCCCTACAAGGCTATAGATCAAGATGCAGAAGAACCCAACAACATTGTAGATTATTCCATCATGCAAGCAGATCCAGCCAATGTGTTTGATATAGACCAAAGCACTGGGGAAATCAAGCTGAAATCCTATATCCGTTCCCTGGACATCATCCACAACATCACAAAGAACAAAGACTGCATATGGTCAGTAGTGGTGCAGGCCAAAGACCGAGGCTCCCCGTCCTTCAGTACCACGGCAGTTCTGAAGATTGATATCACAGAGGAGGTAAGCAAATGTTTTAGAAAAGTCCTTATGTGAGGTGATCCTTGAGAGGCACCGAAGAGTAGTCACTGCTTGCTCCGTTCCTGAGACTACTTTAAAGATGCTTCAGGAGTTGAAATCAGTAGCCAAAAAGTTGCCAGCCATTGCTTCTCCTTTCTTGCTAGCTGTTCTGTAGAGTGTTTCTAGAGCCTTGTGGTGAAGCTGGATTCTACAGCTGCAAATGTAAAAGATATTTTGATCAGAGAAATTGCAGAGGTACAAAGGTAGGAGCATAATGTGGTTGGGAGATGAGTTTCTTGCATCTGATTGTTAGAGATAGATGCAAACTAAGGACTATAGACTCCTGAGAGTAAATGTAAATCCTGACTGCTAAATTTCTGATTTTTTGTTTTCATTCAGGAGAAGAAAACAATCTTTTTCCCCTACAAAAAGTGAGTGGAAAGTAGCTGTGCCCAGAGTGAAATATATCATACCAGTTTTACAAGTCAACATAAGTGACATAGGAAAAGTAAGAAAACTTTCTAGAAATGCTTTAAAGTACATACAATTTTTGGACGTGAGTTTAATAATTGAAGTACTATTAGCAGATGAAACAAGAAAACTCTAAAAGATAGCACACGTAGGTTGAGAGTTTCCTGTTAGTCGAACTTTTACATCAACCAAAGAACAAGCAGCAATTTACGGTGAGCAGCGCATGCTTGCATGATTCTTATTTATTTTAACTGCCTTGCCGTGACTTTAAGTAGGTACCAGCAGGGAGAAAATGGACTTTAAAGTAGATGAGAAACACATCATTAGCCTGGCAGTCTCTGGAGCACACACATACTGGGCAAAGATGCAAATATCTTCCTACAGAGAGCAGCTGGCCTTCTCTTTGTTTGGTCAAAATGCACCCATTGCTCTTCTATCTCTTACAATGTTCCTCGGATTTCTCCATCTCCTCTTATTCCACTGATACTCCTTATCAGGTGCATTTATATGATGCTTCTTGTATCATACGGTCTACAGAGCCTGCTGGAAGTTAAAAGGTGTCTGCAGAGAAGACTTTTGTGCTCGTCAGCAAGGTAAACTTAGTCACCACCAGCACAGGAGTAACTCCCGGTCTCTGTTGTCAGCGCCTGCCCCATCAGGACTGCCGGAGGACTCAGGTCTGCCCTGGCAGAGGGGGTCCCTGGCATGGGGCTGCCTGTTGGGGCTGGCCACCCTGCTGCAGGCTCCATGAAAGCTGCCATGCAGCACTGGGGCTCGGTGTGGGCAGGGCTTCAAGGTTCTGCCATGTAGAGCTGGGGGACTGTGCATGCTGGGTCTCCATAATAAGTCTAGAGATTTAGCCATTCTTACTGATATAAAGGAAAGAAACTGCTTAATGCTTTGATTTCCCACAGAAACCATAAGTTTTGGTGGGTTTTATACAAAAAATAAGAATTGCTACCTGCAGCCAATAGTGGGAGGGCCACCACCACCACCTTGCTTCTCATGGGGCACACATTTCAGGAGTGTGTGGCACCAGGTGGCCTCAGGCACTGTCCCCACTGTTGGCCCCCAGCATCGAGCTTCCAGCTTTCCCTCCCCTCCCGGATGAGCTGGGAACCTCTCTGTTAGCGTGCGGGGCTAAGGGCTGTCGAGGGGAGGGAGGGTGCCCCACACCTCCTCTGCTGGGGGAGAAGTTGTGTCCCTGAACCACCTGATGAAGGACATCTGGAAGGAAAACAAGAGCAGCTGATGCTTTAGGCTAAAGAGTTTCCTGGATTTCCTTCTAGTGCTTGAAGCAACATCAGCACCTGATGAAAGGTGCCTCCTACAAAGTCCCCTCTCTGCTTCCTTTTCTCCCCCTCCAGGGGTACAGATTTGGCACAAAGTGAGGGAGTGCCCCTCCTGATAAAGTCTAAAGGGGAAACAGAGAGAGGGCTGTGAAGACACGGATTCCTCTCAGACACAGTTTTTCCCTTCTTCCCGTGCTCTTCTCAATGCCAAGTCCCAACACAGAGCCCAAGATAGCAACAGCATCTTCTTTCTTCACTTGAGTAGGTCTCTTCAGCACGATCTGCACTACCACTC